GCATGATGGCCTCCACGTAGGCGTGCCCATCTGGAGTCAAGATCCCTGTCCCGAAAGGCGGCACCGTCTGAAACGCCAAGATCAAGCGTTCGTGCCAGATCCGAGCGCCTCCCACGCGATACAGCACATGGATGTAGTCGCCCTCGTCGAGCCCCACCAATGCCAAAGGGTGCCCACTTGCCGCCGCGGCGGCTGCAGAGCTGGCCATCACGAGGCGGAGGTCCGCGCTCTGGCTACGGCAGCCTGCGCTCTAGCCTCCTCCTCCAAGGACGGCTTGGGCGGAGGGCCAGCGATCGGCTGCCAGGAGCCCAGCCACCGCGCGGCCAGGAGCCCTCCAGCGAAGCCGGTCACGCCAGCGAGGGCCACCGCTGACAGCGCCCACCCAGGGGGGCCGCCCGGGCAGTCCAGGCGCGCCGCCTCCTGCCCCGGGGCGCACGTGAGGGCCGGCGCGCACGTGCAGGCCGGGCACTCACCGCGGGCCGCCCACAGCAGCGCGGCCTGCCCAGCGCCGTGCACCGCCTCGCCCGCCAGCCATGCGGCGAAGGCCATCGAAGTGCCGTCGGCTTGCACTTTGAGCCCGATGCCAGCGGGGCAGGCACAGACGAATGCGGCGCTCTCTCTCCACCAGGCTCCGCTTCACGTTTCAAAACTGGACATATATATATATATATATATATATATATATATGCATGTATGTTCCTACATGTACATCTGTATATACATCGATTGATATATATATATAATATATTATATATATATATTATATATATATATATATATATATAATTATGCACACACACATATATATATATATATATAATATATATATTATATAATATATATATATATAATATATATATTATACATATACATGCATACATACATACACACTAGAACCACGCGCGCGCGCTTCGCGCGCGCTTAGGTTCTGTCGAGTCACAGACCCAGGAATCGTTGCGAGAAGAAATTGGTGACGCGAAGCGTCTTGGGGGCGTCCTTGGACGTCTGGGGTCTCCTGGGGCCTCTTGAGGGGCCTCCTTGGGGCCTCCTGGCGGCCTCTTGGGGCGGAAGGCTCGAGCTTGCGGTTCGTGGTCCCCCTCTGGGCCCCCTCTTGGGCCCGTCTTGGGGCCCTCTTGGGCCATCTTGGGCGCCTCTTGGGCCGTCTTGGGGCCCTCTTGGGCTGTCCTGGGGCCCTCTGGGAAGCTTCTTGGGCCGTCTTGGGGCGGTCTTGGGCGCCTCTTGGGCCGTCCTGTAACGTCGGAAAACCCAAAAGACAACTTTGTTGAAAATGTACGTTTTACGAAGGGAATGGGCCAATTTTTGCGTCTAGGGGCCCTCTTGGGACGCATGTTGGAGGCTTCTTGGGGCCTCTTGGGGGCGTCCTTGGACGTCTGGGGTCTCCTGGGGCCTCTTGAGGGGCCTCCTGGGGGCCTCCTGGCGGCCTCTTGGGGCGGAAGGCTCGAGCTTGCGGTTCGTGGTCCCCCTCTGGGCCCCCTCTTGGGCCCGTCTTGGGGCCCTCTTGGGCCATCTTGGGCGCCTCTTGGGCCGTCTTGGGGCCCTCTTGGGCTGTCCTGGGGCCCTCTGGGAAGCTTCTTGGGCCGTCTTGGGGCGGTCTTGGGCGCCTCTTGGGCCGTCCTGTAACGTCGGAAAGCCCAAAAGGCGACTTTGTTAAAAATGTACGTTTTACGAAGGGAATGGGCCAATTCTTGCGTCTAGGGGCCCTCTTGGGACGCATGTTGGAGGCTTCTTGGGGCCTCTTGGGGGCGTCCTTGGACGTCTGGGGTCTCCCGGGGCCTCTTGAGGGGCCTCCTGGGGGCCTCCTGGCGGCCTCTTGGGGCGGAAGGCTCGAGCTTGCGGTTCGTGGTCCCCCTCTGGGCCCCCTCTTGGGCCCGTCTTGGGGCCCTCTTGGGCCATCTTGGGCGCCTCTTGGGCCGTCTTGGGGCCCTCTTGGGCTGTCCTGGGGGGAAGCTTCTTGGGCCGTCTTGGGGCGGTCTTGGGCGCCTCTTGGGCCGTCCTGTAACGTCGGAAAGCCCAAAAAGCAACTTTGTTGAAAAATGTACGTTTTACGAAGGGAATGGGCCAATTTTTGCGTCTAGGGGCCCTCTTGGGACGCATGTTGGAGGCTTCTTGGGGCCTCTTGGGGGCGTCCTTGGACGTCTGGAGGCCATCTTCAGCATCTCGGAGCCCTCTTGGAGGCCTCTTGGAAGTTTCTTGGGCCGTCTTGGGCGCTCCTGGGGCCGTCTTGTCTGACCGGGGAGGCCTCCGGCAAGCCCCGACGAGCCTCCGGGCCCCCCGGGGTGCACATTTGCGGTCGGGGTCCCGGCCCCGGGCCCCCGGACCCGGTGCGCCGATATATGTATACATCTATGTGGTGAGTGACTTATATGATACCGGAGAAAAGCCCCAATCAATTTTTTTGAGGGGGGGCTATGGGGCTATAGGGCAATGGGGCTACAGGGCTATATGGCTATAGGGATATATGGCGGTAGAGGTATAAGGCTCTTGGAGGGCTATAGGGCTATTGGGCTATAAGGCACCTGGACACCTGGCCACCGAATCGGCCACGACACTCGCCTGGGCACCCGGGCACCCGGGCACCTGGCCCGGCCACCCGAAATCGGCCGCGCGACACTCGCTTACCCATATGAATCCGCTAGGACCCCTACAAAGGCAAACTCTGATTGGGGAACACATACATATGTACATATAAGTATGATACCTGAGAAAGATCCCTATCATAGTCTTTTAGGGCTGGGCTATAGGGCTACATGGGCTATTGGGCTATTGGGCTATAGGGCTATAGAGCTATGGGGCTATAAGGCTATAGGGCTTTAGGGCTTTAGGGCTATAGGGCTACAGGGCTATAGGGCTATAGGGATATAGGGCTGTAGGGTTATATGGCTATATGGCTATAGGGCTATTGGGCTATAGGGCTATAGGGCTATAGGGTTATAGGGCTACAGGGCAATATAGCACCCGGGCACCCGGGCACCCGGGCACCCCCGGGCACCTCCGGGCCGCCGCCGAAATCGGCGGCACACCTCACCTAACCATATGAATCCGCTAGGACCCCTGCAGAGGCAAGCTCTGATCGGGGAATATATATATATATGTATATATATACACACATAGATCGATGGATATCAATACATGTGTATCTATATGCCTTGCGTCCGACCCGACACTTGAGGATAGCACCGAACCATGGAGACTTGCGAGGCGGGGGGCAATTATTTTGAAAGCCCTCAGTGCAAGCACTGCCTGTATAGACAGTGCACAGGCATGCGAGACCGAGGAGCAATGGCACAAGCACAGAAGGGACAGGTCAAAGCGCGTGCGTTTGGTAACAGGAGCCCGCACGCCTCCATCTGGGCAGCTGCCGGCAAGGAGGCCGCGCATGGGCGCGCGCCGCCGGGGGGTCACGAACCACAGTAGCGGCAGTGGAGGCACAACTTTGCACTCTTTGCCCTCAGTCGCACAGAGATGCCCCCCTGCCCGACGTTCACAAACTCACGCGGCAACACGCTCCAGGCCAGATGAGCAACACCTCGAAGCGCGCATTTGCCTGCTTGCGCAGCTGGGGAGGGCGGCAGCATATATCACCAAGCGAAGGGGTCGAAACCATGGAAACTCGAGGCTACATCGCATCATTTCTGTCTCACACGACAGTGCAAGAGAAGCAGGATGACGACGACAAGCCCGTGGATCAGCAAAGAGCGTTTCCGTCGCGGCGCTCGCGCGCGTGCAAGCCTCAGTCACGTGGCTGGTCGTAGTCTGAACGCTGGAGGCATGGAACCATTGTCGCCACCTCCTGTTCGTCCTCCCCGCCTCACCCGAACGTAAACACAACTCGTCGGGGACACTGTGACGAAGGGGCGAGTGAGGAAATCAGCGGGGGTCTTTACTGCAATGCAGGGCCTCTCGGCCACAAACAGCTCCCAGCCGACAAGAGCGAGTCGCGAGCCTCCCGACCCGGTCGAGGACCGAGGGTGATACACCGAGCGCCTCGAGGAAACATCGCGCACAGATCGCTGAGCTTCCTGCCTGGACCCACAACTTACATACTCATATGTCCGGGCCAGCCCGAATGCGGCGGGCTGCAAGCCTCACAACGCTGACGGTCCCGTGCGAGCACGGTGGATGAAGAAAGAGGAAAAGTGCTGCAAGGGGTGCAAGTCCACGGGCACTACAGTCGGCCCGTATCATAAGGATGCGCGACAAGGACGCAAGGGCCTGGGACGCCCAGGTTGAAGCTCTTGGACCGAAGCGTGCCAACGAGAGTGGCCAAGGTTGCCCATCCTTGCCGTGCGGGTTGACTGTAGGCCCGACCCACCGCAGAGGCTGAGCGCAGCTCAGCCTTGAAACCTGCCTCGAAGCGCGTTTGCCCCAGTCTCCAACCGCAGCAGCGTTCGCCCGCGAACTAGAAAAAGGAAATGCAGAGCATGTTCGGAGGATGCAGCTCGGATGCGACTCTCTTGTCTGGCGACTCGGTCTCTCGCGCTTGCACACATTTTCGGACATGTGCACGGGCAGCCCCGCAAGCGAAGGAGCTGCGACTGAACCTCCTGCGATCGATGAGCTTGCTGTAGGCACCTCTGCCATGGTTTGATCATTGAGTCCCGTCCATCTGATGACCTTGGGTAAGCAAGTATGTGCTGGACGATGTGCGCTTCGCGTACAAGCTGGAACAAACGACACACTCTTGGACTGGCACGCGCGGCGTTGTGGGAAAAAAGTGACGCGCCATGCTCAGTACGAGTTGCGAAGAGGGGAAACAACAAATAAAACAACAAGTCACATATACAAGCAACTAATAACAACATAACATCGCGGGCGGGCGTGGTCTCACAAGGCCGGCTGGGCCAGGACATGTTTGTCGATATTATAAACAAGAAATCATAAGGTTGCCCCCGCTGTCTCTGTCTGTGCCTGTGTCTCTATCTATGATTTGTTTTTTGTTCTCTCTCTCTCTCTCTCCCTCCCCCTCTAATTATACTCTCTGTCCCCCCCCGCGCCTCCGAGCCGCAGCTGGCACGAGCCCGAAGCACGGCGCGGGCCCGAAGCAGGACACGGGACCCGGCGAAAATGGCCCGCAACGCTGCCCACCCCGCGTTGGCAAGGCAGGGGCGGGACTAGGCCCACGGAAACTGCGCCGCACCCCCCCGATACGGAGGCCCGCACATCTGCCCACTTTCGGTCGGCGGGCAAGGGCGGGATTGGGCCCGCAGGGGCGTGCCCTCACGGAGCTCGCGAAAATTGCGGGCCAGCAATACATGGCCCCCTGCTCGCCGAACCCAAACGAAGAGAGGCTGCGACTCGGCTCGCGGAAACTGCGGGACCCCCAAAACATGGCCCACAAATCTCCTCACTCTAGAAAGACCAGGAATGGCTGCAGTTGGGTTCGCAAAAACTGCGGGCCCCAAAATGGCCCGCAAATCCGCCGACCCCAGAGGCGCGTGCGATCCTTCTGCACCATCCACCCAGCCTTCCGCCGTTCAGAACCTTTGTTCTTTGAGCAACTCACTTTGCAATCTCTGGCAAGGACCCACCAACGCCCCGCACCGCGCTCCGGCACCGTCGTCTGGACCTCTGTTCTGAAGGACACGCACCCAACAATTCCTCGTTCGGAACCGACCCTGGCATCCATTCTGGACCCCCACCTGGACTTCCCACTTCGCCCCGGCACCCTATTCGTCCGAATCGCTGTTTCGAAGGTCAACCACCAAACAATTCCTCACTCGGAGCCAACCCTGACCCTCCACCAAGAAACCCCATCTGGACCCCCCACCCTGCCCAGGCACCCTATTCGTCTGAACCACTGTTTTTTCTGAAGGCCACCAATCAAACAATTCTTCACTCGGAACCGACCCTGGCCCTCTAAGTGGATGCCCCGCCTAGACCCTCCACCTCGCCGTGGAACCCCCCATCGTCTGAACCTCTGTTCTGATGACCACCCATACGGTTCATCGGTCAGAACTAACCCTGCCCCTCACCTGGACCCTCCCCCTGGACACCCCACCCTGCCCTGGATCCCCCATCACCTACTTTTTTCGTTATGAACACAAACCTCGGCCCGTCCCGGAAAAAAATGGCATCCGAACTAGCACCCAACCTGGTCCAGCACCCCCACCTTGCCTTGTGACGCCTTTTTTTGGAACCCCCTCCCGACAATTTCGCCCCCAGCACCGCCCCGCCGTCGGCTTGGTCCGACACCCACGAGTTGTCGTGGGACGTCTGTTTTTGGGACTCCCCACCTGGGACATCTGTTCTTGGGACCCCCCACCAAACACTTTCGCACCCAAAAACGCCCCGCAGTCGTCCCGGCACCCCCACCCCACGGAAGTTCAGTTCTCGGGATCCCCCACACGATAATTTCTGGCCCGAAACCTACCAAGACCCCCCACCGCGCCCCCACCACGCCTCAGCAACCCAACCCCACGACAGCTCAGTTCTCGGGACCCCCCACGCGACAATTTCTGGCCCGAAACCTACCAACACCCCACCGCGCCCACACCACGTCCCGGCACCCCCACCCAACGACAGCTCGGTTCTCGGGACCCCCCACACGACAATTTCTGGCCCGAATCCTACCAACACCCCCCACCGCGCCCCCACAACGCCCCAGCGCCCCCACCCCACGAGAGCTCAGTTCTCAGGACCCCCCGACAAACTCTGGCCCGAAACCTACTAACACCCCCCACGGCGCTCCCACCACGTCCCAACACCCCCACCCCACGAGAGCTCAGTTCTTGGGACCCGGCACCCCCACCCCACGAGAGCTCAAATTCTTGGAACCCCCCACACGACAATTTCTTGCCCCAAACCTACCAACACTCTCCACCGCGCCCCCACCACGTCCCGGCACCCCCACCCCACGAGAGCTCAGGGACCGTCCGAGATGGCCTCATGCTAGCCTCCCCCAAGACCGCTCCAAGACGGCCCCAGAGGCCCGCAAGAAGCCCTTCGCGGCCGAGGAGGACAAGCTTGGAGCGGTGGTGTGTGTGTATGTGCAGAAGTGGACCCTCCCTCTGGACGACGATGGCGGGAAGGAAAGGGGGCCGACCACCATGAAGACCCTGACAAACAATGCATGGCTTGCCTCCTCAGGCCTTGCAGGGAGTCGCTTGGACTTGCAATGTGGCGTCATGAAATCTTTGTGGACCGTGTTCCACTCTGCCCTTTCGGCGAGGGTTTCGCACCTCCTCCTAGCCGCTGCCCTGCACCTAACGAGAAAACAACGGGAGGGGTTGAAGCGCCCAAGATGGTTTAAGCTTGAGCCATCGCGGGCGCTCCGACGCCTGAAACAGCCTCCACCAAAACCCACGCCAAGTCCAAAGGAAGCCCTAAAGAGCCTCAAGACCGCTTTCCAAACGATACCCTCCGAAGAAACTCAAGGTCGACTTTGGGGTCCGCGGCAGAGGCGGCAGCCTTAGGATTTCCTCACCAGAATCAGATGCGATTGGGCTCGCAGAAACTCCAGGCCAACGCAGAGTGGACCGCAAATCTGTTATGGGATTGGGTTCGCGGAAATTGCGGGCCAAAAAAAATTGCCCGCAAATCTCCTCACCGAGGACAGGCAGCGATTGGGCTAGCAACAACTGCGGGCTAAAAACAAATGGCCCGCAAGCCTCCTCACCCCGAAAAGACCAAGAATGGCTGCACTTGTGATCGCAAACAACTGCGCGCCAAAAACAACGGGCCAGCAAGTTTCTTCACCCCAAAAGACCAGCAAAGGCTGCGATTGGGTTCGCAAAACCTGCGGGCCAAAAACAAATGCCCGCAAATCTCCGGCGCATGTGGCCTGCGCCACTAGGGCCTTCGGTGGAACTCCCTATGAGGCCACGAACCGTGTTGAGGGTGCGCCGACATGGGGGCATCGGGCGCATGCGGCCTGTGCCACTGGAGCTTTCGGTGGAGCTCCCTATGGGGCCACGAACCGTGTGAGTGGTGTGCAAACATGGGCGTCGAGCGCATGCGGCCTGCGCCACTGGGGCATTGGGTGGAGCTCGCTATGGGGCCAAGAACCGTGTTAGGGGTGTGCCGAAATGGGCGTCGGGCGCATGCGTCCTGTACCACTGGGGCCTTGGGTGGAGCTGGCTATAGGGCCAGGAACCGTGTGAGGGGTGTGCCGAAATGGGCGTCGGGCGCATGCGTCCTGTACCACTGGGGCCTTTGGTGGAGCCCCCTATGAGGCCACGAACCGTGTTGAGGGTGCGCCGACATGGGGCATCGGGCGCATGCGGCCTGTGCCACTGGAGCTTTCGGTGGAACTCCCTATGGGGCCACGAACTGTGTGAGGGGTGTGCCAAAATGGGCTTCGGGCGCATGCGGCCTGCGCAGCCGTGGCCCTCGGTGGAGCTCCCTATGGGGCCACGAACCGTGTGAGGGGTGTGCCAAAATGGGCGTCGGGCGCATGCGGCCTGCGCCACTGGGACCTTTGGTGGAGCTCCCTATGAGGCCATGAACCGTGTTGAGGGTGCGCCGACATGGGGCATCGGGCGCATGCGGCCTGTGCCACTGGAGCTTTCGGTGGAGCTCCCTATGGGGCCATGAACCGTGTGAGTGGTGTGCAAAAATGGGCGTCGGGCGCATGCGGCCTGCGCCACTGGGGCCTTGGGTGGAGCTCGCTATGGGGCCACAATCCTCGTGAGGGATGCGCCGAAATGGTGGGCATGCGGAGAGCAGAGGCAGGGGCAGGAGGAGGGAGGAGGGGGCAGCGGGAGGTGAGGTGAGTGACGCGGGGCGCTGTCTCTGCAAAACGAGGACCCAACACCACAAAATGGTTGGGAACCAAAAACGAAATCATCGTCACAATCACCAGCACAGTCGTCATCACTATTCACAACATCATCACCAGCATCACACTCACTATCATTATCATCATCAGCATCATCCCCATCACCATCGTCAACACCATCATCAACATCGGCACCAGCATCCGCATTTATATATCGTAATCATCATCAACAACATCACCACCATCACCAGCATCATCACCATCACCACCACCCTCATCAACATCAACATCACCATCAACATCATCATCATCACCATCATCATCATCATCATCATCATCATCATCATCATCATCATCATCATCGTCATCATGTACAGCATCATCAACAGCATTATCATCATCATCATCAGCAGTAGTAACAGCCTCGTCGCAACCATTGTCATCATCATCGGCATCAGCATCAGCATCACGAACATCATCATCATCAGCATCATCATCATCATCAGCAGCACCATAATTGGTATCAGCACCATCATCAGCAACATCATCACCACCATCATCATCGGCATCAGCATCATCATAACAAGCATCATCGACATCACCATCACCATCATCATCAGCATCATCACCAGCATCGGTATCGTAACCATAATCATCACAACCATGACCATAGCCACCATCATCATCATCATCATCATCATCATCATCACAATCATCATCATCATCATCATCATCATCATCATCAGCGTTATCATCATCATCGTCGTCATCATCGTTGTCAGCATCATCATCAACATCATCATAATCAGCATCTCCATCAACACCACCATCAACAACATAATCAACATCAACATCACCGTCACCATCATCATCACCGCCAAAACCAACATAGCGTTATCATCATCATCATCATCACCACCACCACCATCATCATCATCAGCATCACACATCATCATCATCATCATCATCATCATCATCATCATCATCATCATCATCATCATCATCATCATTACCACCATCAGCATCAGCATCAGCATCAGCATCAGCAGCATCGTCATCATCATCATCACAAGCATCATCATCATCATCACCACCACCATCATCATCAACATCATTAGCATCATTAGCATCATCATCATCATCATCATCATCAACATCATCTCCTTATCCATCGGCCCCCCCACCCTCTCTCCTCATCGCTCCTCCTCATCATCCCACGCTCCTCCTCCTGATCCCCCTCCTCCTCCTGCTCCGCCTCCGCCTCCTACTTGCTAGAAGGAGCCCCACGAATGACGACGACGACGACGACGAATGAAAATGCACCATAATTAAAAAACCCAGAGGCCCCCAAACCGGCCCCAGACCGGCCCAAGAAGGCACCTAAACTGCCCCCGACGGTCAAGAGGGCCCCAAGACCGCCAAGAACACCACAAGACGGTCCCAAATGGCTCCACAAATGCCCCAATGGATCCCCAAGACTGCCCCACAAGAGTCCAAAGCAGTCCCACATGCGGCGCAAACGGAATCTATGAGAGCGTCTCCTCGTCCTCCTCCTCCTCCTCCTCCTCCTCCTCCTCCTCCTCCTCCTCCCCCCCTCATGGTCCTCCTCGACCTCGTCCTGCT